TGGAGGCAGCCATTGTCCCCACGGGCCTCTGTATAATAACTTTGCCAGTCAGCAAAATTCCTCTAATTGCTCGGAAGGCTGGCTGGCGTTTCCGGAACGCGGCAAACCTCGATCGTATCCCGTACGTGAAAACTGCCCGAGGCTGTGCTTGGGATGATCGAGAACTCGCCAGAGAGCGTTACCTATCGATTGCACGCCATCCCCACTCTTTCGCTCCGATGGAACGATCAAATTGTACCGTCAGCAGACCTCGTCTTTTCTCTGCTTTTTCTTTCTCTTTTTTTTTCTTCGCTGATTTTTATTCCTTGATCTTGCTTCGAGGGATTCTCGAGAAGTTTTTCGAATTTTTCGGGGATTTTTCTCTCTCTTTTTTTTTTTTTTTTATTGGATTTGTCGAACTTCGTTTATTTCTTTATCCTCGCTTACAAAGATTCTCGAGGATTTTTTCGAATTTTTCTTATTTTTGTCGAATTGGATCTCTTCGATTGACGATTTTCATTCTCTCGTTGATTATTTCTTATAAAGATCATCGTAATTTTTTCGAATTTTTCTTTTTTGTTCGATTTCTTGAATTGGGAATGGAATTATAATTTGTTATTTTTTTCTCTTTTTTTTTGCTGATTTTCATATCCCTCTATCGATTATTCGCTCTTCATAAAGGTTTTTTAAATCATTTTCGAATCTTTTAACGATTTTTCTTTTCTGATATTCTTCGGATCTCTTCGTTTCTTTTCTCGCGGATTTTATTCAATATCTCTCTAGAGGTTTTCGAGAAGACTTCTTTTCACTGATTTTTCTCTTCTCCTTTTTCGTCTTCTTCTCAAATTTCTGGCAATGGATTTGTGCTCCTTATATCTTGTTAAAGGAGCGAAATTTTGTATCGAGCGTAGGAAAAGTGTTTGGCTTCGAGGAGGCGCGAAGAAATAGAATTTGAGGAATTGTAAAATCAATTTGAAGAGCAACAAGTCCTTTCACTTGGCGAAGAAATGCTACTTTTCAATTGTTGAAAATTTTCAAATTTTACGAATCACTCGATATAATATAATTCTTAAATGAATTCAGTTTTCGGAGAGTAATAGAAAATCCCGAAAAGATAACTTTAAAATTAAATTATCATTTCCACGATATCAATAAAAATATTCTATTCTTTTCCTCCAAAAAAAAAAACATCAATTTCGAAGTTCGAAATTTTTAGAATTTTTGAATGGTATAAAAAAATTTTCTATGAGAATAATTATTATCTCTAAAATTTTTAAAATATTCGATAAAATATAAAAGATTAAATCTAAAAAGTTCGAAATTTCGATTTCGATCGAAAAGATTAAAAAAAAATTTTGAAACTTTT